AGAGTTTCGCTCTTGTTACCCAGGCTGGAGTGCAATGGCGCGATCTCGGCTCACCGCAACCTCCGTCTCCTGGGTTCAGGCAATTCTCCTGCCTCAGCCTCCCGAGTAGCTGGGATTACAGGCACGCGCCACCATGCCCAGCTAATTTTTTGTATTTTTAGTATAGACGGGGTTTCACCATGTTGACCAGGATGGTCTCGATCTCTTGACCTCGTGATCCACCCGCCTCGGCCTCCCAAAGTGCTGGGATTACAGGCTTGAGCCACCGCGCCCGGCCTAATTTTGTATTTTTTAGTAGAGATGGGTTTCTCCATGTTGGTCAGGCTGGTCTTGAACTCCTGACCTCAGGTGATCTACCTGCCTCGGCCTCCCAAAGTGCTGGGATTACAGGTGTGAGCCTCTGTGGTCAGCCGAGTGTTCCCATCTTACATTGAGGCCTGAGATGAAATGTCTTTCAAGTTAGCATGCCCCAGAAAATCGCTGAAATGGCCTGCATGGTATCAATGACACACTTGCATGTGGACCGTGCCGTCTTCTTATAAGGCCTGCACGGCCAGTTTATGTGCCTGCATTGGAACGGATCGCCATTTCTTGAGTTGAGGGCAAGATGCAGGAATAGCGTGCATTAGGGACCGTGTGCTATGAAAAACACATTTGGTTTGTACCCGTATCTGCCAGGCCGATGGGGCTGAATTCTAATTAAAGAAGCAGGTCACTCCATGGCACACAGATGAAGCCAGAGTTTCCCTGGAGAGGGGTCCCCCTGCCCTGGAGGGTCCCTTCAGCACTCACCAGGGCCCACAGTGAGTGAGCACCAGCTCCTCCTAGCCTGGGATCTATGTCCTGGGCAGCCCCTCCATCTACTCCGTCACAGGCCAGTAGCACCATCCTTGCTCCCTCCGCCAATCTGCCAGTCCCAGACCCATCCTGCTGTCCCCTGACCCTCTCTGCCCTTCCCCTCCTCTGCAGCTCCCTGGCTCAGTCTTGGCTCAGACTTTGCCCTCCCCTGCATCACCCCAGCCTCCATCCTGGCCTCAGTCTTCCCCGTCCAGTTTGTCTGCGCACAGGTTCGGAGCTGGCCCTGCCCCTCCCCTCCTCAAGATACTCCCATGGCTCCCCAGTGCTCTCAGAGTCCAACCTCTGTGGCTCAGCACGTGAGGCTCTCCCCATCACCTCCTGCTCCTCCCCTCTGAATGGCCTAAGGTGAATAAGCCAGTTTACCCTGAACAGGCCCTGCTCTCTCAGGCCTCCAGGCCCGGAGGGACAGCTGTGACTGGGGAGGCCAGGGGGAGGGGCCAAGGCACCCCTGGTGTGTTCTTGGCACACGTTCACTACCTCATTGTCAAGGTTCAGGATGGACGTCACCTTGTGGATGAGCAGATGCTGCCCTGGGCTCCTGTGCCTCTCCCTCCAGGGCAGAATCCAGCCGCTGCATCTCAGGGGCACCAATTCAACAACCCTCCCCAGGCTGCCCCAGGGGCCTGCTCTATGGTGAGCTAAAGAGCTTCACAGTGGAGCCCAGAGTATGGAGGAGCCTACAGGGCCATCACCCTAGCCTGGGACATCCGGAAAGGCTTCCCAGAGCAGGCAGCCTCTGAGCTGAGGGTTAGGGGTGAGCAGGGACTGGCCAGCCCAATAAGAGGGAAGGATATTTCACTCCAAGGGAACAGCACAGGCAAAGGCAGAGAGCAAGGGGCGGCAGGGTGGAGGCTCCACAAGCACGAAGGAGGAGCTGAGGCGCAGATTCCAGGGCAAGGATTGTGTCCAGTGAGGCTGGGAAGCAGGGTCCCAGGCACCAGACTGTGCCCAGGGGAGGGGCAGGACAGTTCTGGGTCGAGTGGGGAATGGGCTGGAAGGGACCCACCGGAAGCCGGGAAGAGGCCGGGGGTGGGGGCACACAGGTGGGGCAGGAAGGGCGTGCTGGGGGTCTAGGCAGTGACTGGGGAGACAACAGTCCATCCATAGAAGCAGAACCCAGAAGAGAAAGTGTCAGGGTAGATGCTGTGCTTGGCCTACGGTGAGAGTGAGGGGCCCAGCCCAGAGCCAGGAACGTCCAGATTGATCTGAGTGTGGACCGTAGAGAGCTCATGTGGAAACTGCAGAAGGAGAGGAGCCCTACACCCTGGAAGAAAAACCCTGCACCCTGCACCCTGCACCCTGCATCCTGTATTCCACATCCCGCATCCTGCAGTGGGGCTCTGAGTGCCTGTTCTGAGGTGAGATGGGGAACTTGAGAGGAGCAGGGAGTTTGTGGCAGCTGCAGTCTGGGTTGGTGAGAACGCACTGCTGCACATGGAGAGGGCTTGGGTGCATCAGGGAACAGAAGGAGCTGGGTTTAGGGCCTAGGGGAGGGGCTTGCAGTGAACACAGTTATCTGGGAGTGCAGGAGGGGGACCAGACAGGAGCAAGTCTGAGAAGGCCCACTGGTTTTTTTGTTTTTTTTTGTTTTTTTTTTGAGGCGGAGTCTCGCTCTTCCACCAGGCTGGAGTGCAGTGACACGATCTTGGCTCACTGCAATCTCGACCTCTCAAGTTCAAGCGATTCTCCTGCCTCAGCCTCCCAAGTAGCTGGGATTACGGGCATGCACCACCACGCCTGGATAATTTTTGTAATTTTTATAGGGACAGGGTTTTACCATGTTGGCCAGGCTCGTCTTGAACTCCTGGCTTCATGTGATCCGCCCGCCTCGGCCTCCCAAAGTGCTGGGATTACAGGCGCGAGCCACTGCACCTGGCGGAGGGCCTGCATGTAAAGGCCCTCAGCCCAGGGGGTGGGGAAATGCCTCATGAATGCACTAAAGTAACTCGCAGACTGGGCTTTCTCATTGTTATTTGTGGATTTAAGGTTTCACTATGTTGCCCAACCAAGCTGGACTCCAACTCTGGGCTCAAGCGATCCTCCCACCTAGGCCTCCAGAGTAGCTAGGACACAGGCATGTAGGCTGGGACTCAGGGTCTTCTCCCCAGAGACACCGGCCTCCTTGCCTCTCATCGGGCCCCTCCCCCTGTCCTCCCGGGTCACAGCTGTCTCTCCATGCTTACACCCCTTCCACGGCTCCCTGCTGCTCTGAGGATAAAGCCGCAGGCACCGCTCTGGGTATCTGAAGCCCTTGCCAACCTCTGGGGCCTCCCCCTCTCCCCTGCTCGCTGGATCCAGCCCCCTGAGATATGCCAGGCTGAGCTTGAGGGCCCTTTCCCCACCAGGCTCAACCCCCCTCTCCCAGAGCTTTCTTCAGATCCTGCCTGAGCCCTGGACCCAGGCAGAAACTGCTCCCTCCCCAGCCCCTCTGTTGGCTGAGTATCCCAGCACCCTCTCAGGCGGTGCAGGCTGGCTATTATCTGCAGGATTTATCACCAGCTTCCTCAGAGCTTGTCAGCATGGCTGAAAACAGCTTGAAAACCAATGAGCCAGCAGGTGAATGACCGGGTACAGCAGATGCCTCACACCAGTCTACACTCCTGGGGCCAGTGCCAACCCTGGGGAGAGTCAGTACAAGGCAGCTTCCTCTGGGCGGACTCAGGCTCGAGACAAGACACACGTTTTGGCAAATGGAGTGTAAGTTGGGTGTCAGCCCCCACCTGGCCCCCCGGCCACGAATTCTTGGATGGTGAACAACCTGTACAACTGCTCAAGGCAGCCCGGCACTCATGTGTAGCAGAATCAAAAGGGAGTTTGTTAAAAAATATAGTTCCCTGGGCCCCAGTCCCAGATTTTCCAATTCAGTCCACTAGGACTGGCGCCCAGGAGGCTGCATTTGTCAGCCAGCTCCCCCAGTGATAATGATACCCAGTCAGGATGGCAACTTGGAACCAATAGCCCAATCGGCCGTGATAATCATCATCGTCCTGGTAATAGCTAACTCTCACATAGTACTTCCTGTGCCGTGTGGGAGGTTCTGTTCTCAGCACCGTGTGCTTGTTCTTTCATTCAATCCCGCAACACCCCTATGAGTTAGGTCCCATGATCATCCCCACTTTGCAGATGTTTGAGCTGAGGCACAGAGAGGTTAAGCAACTTGCTCAAGATCACACAGCCAGAAGACAGTAGAGTCAGATTCAAATCCAGGAAGTCTGACTCCAGAACACACCCCCTTCACCACATCACTAAAGCGCCCCTAAAGCCGGCACTCAGTGAACGGCTGTCAACTCTTATGTAGCCGTGCCATGAGCTGGGCACTGCCCGGTGCTTCTCACAGATGCTCATTTCATACTCACAACCCTACCAGGCAGATCTCACTATCACCCCCATTTTCCAGATGAGAAAGCTGAGGCTTGGAGAGATTAAGAAACCTACCCAAGGAGTGTTAAGTAAATGAAGTAGGGAAGAGAAGGAAAGGGAGAGGAGTGGAGCAGAGGAGAGGGCAGGAAGGAAGGGGAGGGAGGAAGGAGATGGAGAGAGGGAGGGAGGGGAAGGAAGGGAAGGAAAAGAGGAATGGGAAGGAAGAAAGGGAGGAAGAGAGAGCAGAAGGGGAAACTAAGGGGAATGGGGAATGGGAGGGGAGGGGGAAGGAAGGGGAAGAATGAAGGGAAGGGAAATAGGAAGGGAAAGGGGAAAAGGAGAGGGAGAGAGAAGGGAGGGAGGGAGGGAGGGAGGAAGGGAGGGGGAGGGAAGGGAAGGAAGGAAGGGAGAAAAACAAGGAAGAATGGGAAGGAAGGCAGGGAGGAAGGGAGAGGGGGAAGGGGAAAGAGGAAGGAAGGGAAGGAGGGAGGGAGGGAAGGAGGGAGGGAGGGAAGGAGGGAGGGAGGGAGAGAGGACAGCATGACCGGGAACAAATGCAAGAAACAGACAACTGTAGGTGGCCTGACCTGGTCCCCACAGCGCAAGGCTGCAGGAGGCGCAGCAGGTGCAAGCTCACCTTGGAGGCCCGCAGGCCCATGAAGATGGCGAAGAGCAACAGCAGCAGGGAGGTGGCCACCTTGAGGTCGGTAAGCACCACCATGCCCACGTTGACGAAGATGGCCACGCCAGAGACCAGCAGCGTGAGGTTGAGCAGGGCGCGCTGCAGGGTGGGCGTGCGCACCTTCAGCTCAGGCAGCAGCTGCTCCAGGCCCTCCAGCGGCGTGTCTTTGAAGCTCTTCAGCACCAGGTGTCCTCGTTTGGTCCGGGCCGCCAGCACCACCCGCTTAAAGTATCTCCTGAGCGACAGAGACAGAGGCAGGAGCAGGATCGGGGCTGCCCCGGGAGGCTCCGACCCCAGGACGCACATTCTGGATCTACAGTCTCAAAACCATCTTAAAAGTGACTCAGTCATCGTGGGGAAGAAATCAGAAAACAACTGTGTCCAACCAACCACAGGGGATTGGTTCGATCATGCGATCCATCCCTGGTATTGGACATGGAGGTTAGGCTGTTCATCGGAATCCTGGCCGTGCCGCAGCTTCAGAACGTGGACCCCCCTCTCCGAGCCTCGGTTTTCCTTACTGGAAAATGGGGAGAACTGTCCCCACCCTTTCTCTTCCCCTGGGAATCAAGTGCAGTACTCACTTTCCCTTGGGAAGAAAAGGCAGCATTTGGATGAGTCATGCCTCCCGTTTCTCAGCTTCCCACCCGGGGCCCACATGCCCAAACCAGACACTGACCTGTCAGTCCCCTCTTGACTCTAACCTTGCTCCCTCTTGCTGCAGCTGGGGAACAAGGGCCACCTCACCTCTCTGCGGAGGGCAGCTTGGTGAAGAAGCCACGCCTGGAGCCCACGCTGGACTTCAGGGGCATCTGCCCGACTCGCTGGCCCAGGGCCCAGAACTGCATGTAGACATACTGATCCAAATTTACCGTCACCTGCCAGGGGGATGAAGGAATCAGTAACAGCTGAACATGGACAGGGCTGCTGAGGGCAGGATACCAGAATCAGATGCCCTGCCACGAGATAATTTGCTGTTTTCCCACTTATCACCTTTCAGTTCAGCGTCTAGGTGCGGCTGCCACATATGGTTGTCCACATTGTGCACTGCACAAGGGCACACCCTCTAATGCAGTGCCATTCACGTAGTAGTCATCTTTATGACTATATTTCCTAGAATCTAAGGTGTCACTGACTCTGATGATTTTATGAAGCAACTAAAAACAAAATACACTGCCAATTAAATGATGTCACACCGTCACTTGTAAATCACATCCCAATTTCAGAGATGACAAAACGTGACTTTGAGACGGAGTTTCACTCTTGTTACCCAGGCTGGAGTGCAATGGTGCGATCTCGGCTCACCGCAACCTCCGCCTCCTGGGTTCAGGCAATTCTCCTGCCTCAGCCTCCTGAGTAGCTGGGATTACAGGCACGCGCCACCATGCCCAGCTAATGTTTTGTATTTTTAGTAGAGACGGGGTTTCACCGTGTTGACCAGGATGGTCTCGATCTCTTGACCTCGTGATCCACCCGCCTCGGCCTCCCACAGTGCTGGGATGACAGGCGTGAGCCACCGCGCCCGGCCCTTTGGGAGCTTTGAGTATTTTTGTTTTCATTTTTATTTTGAGATGTTGTCTCACTCCGTCACCCAGGCTGGAGTACAGTGGCGCAGTCTCAACTCGCTGTAGCCTCCGTCTCCTAGGTTCAAAAAATTCTCATGCCTCAGCCTCCCAAGTAGCTGGGACTATAGATGCCCACCACCACCACGCCCGGCTAATTTTGTATTTTTAGTAGAAATGGAATTTCGCCATGTTGGCCAGGCTGGTTGCAAACTCCTGACCTCAAGCGTTCCACCCACATCAGCCTCCCAAAGTGCTGGGATTACAGGCAGGAGCCACCGCGCCCACACATTTTTAGTATTTTTCATAATTTTGTTAGCATTTTGCGTGCTTTCTGGGGTTTGGGTTTTGTTTTGTTTTGTTATGAGACAGGGCCTCGCTTTGTCAACCAGGCTGGAGGGCAGTGGCAAGATCACGGCTCACTGCAGCCTTAAACTTCTGGGATCAAACGATCCTCCCACCTCAGCCTCCTGAGTAGCTGGGACTACAGGCCCGCACCACCAGGTCCAGCTAATTTTTGTATTTTCTGTAGAGATGGGGCCTCCCTGTGTTGTCTAGATGGGTCTGGAACTCCTGGGATCAAGCGATCCTCATGCCTTGGCCTCCTGAATGCTGGGATTACAGGAATGAGCCACTGAACCCAGCCTTGTATTAGATTATTATTACAATTCTGGCAGATGGCACTAAAGTCTCTAGTCCTAAGAGGGCCATATCATATGATACTTTTCCAGCAGATGACAGTGAAATAACCTGAAAAAGTAGCATCTCCCTTTTTTTTTTTTTTGAGAGGGAGTTTCACTCTTGTTACCCAGGCCAGAGTGCAATGGCGTGATCTCGGTTCACTGCAACCTCCACCTCCTGGGGTCAAGAGATTCTCCTGCCTCAGCCTCCCCAGTAACTGGGATTACAGGCACCTGCCACCATGCCCAGATAATTTTTTGTATTTTCAGCAGAGATGGGGTTTCACCATGTTGGCCAGGCTGGTCTTAAACTCCTGACCTCAGGTGATTTGCCCTCCTCGGTCTCCCAAAGTGCTAGGATTATAGGTGTGAGCCGCTGTACCTGGCCAAAAGTAGCACCTTATTCGAATTCACCAAGTGCACCACGTGGGCCAGTGTCCTGGGCTCAGGACTACAACTCCCAGCAGCCCCTGCCTCCCAGAGGCTCTGCCCCATCCCAGAGGCCTCCTGGGAGTTTCATACTCCTGGGGAGCCAGGTACCTGGACCTCATCCTGAGGGTGATGGACCACCAGCGCGTAGGCCAGGGTGTCCTCAGATAGCGGGGAGAAGTTGGCCTGGGCTAGCAGGGGTTCCAGAGCCCGAAGCACCTCCTGCTCATTGGACAGACGCTGGGGGTCTGTCAGTGATGGCTGATCGAGGGTCTCCCTGTCAGGGTTGATGGGGTCATACAAGGCCTAAGAGGAGAGTCAAAGAGAAAAAGATGGGCTAGGTCACTGCATGAAGGAAGGATTGTGGAGACATTATCCTTTCCAGATACTTTCATTTCTTTCTTTCTTTTTTGAAATGGAGTCTCACTCTGTCGCGTAGGCTGGAGGGCAATGGCGCAATCTCAGCTCACTGTAACCTCCACCTCCCGGGTTCAAGCAATTCTCCTGCCTCGGCCTCCCTAGTAGCTGGTATTACAGATGCACACAACCACGCTCAGCTAATTTTTGTATTTTTAGTAAAGACGGGGGTTTCACCATGTTGGCCAGGCTGGTCTCGAACCCCTGAACTCAAGTAATCCACCCACTTCAGCCTCCCAAAGTGAGATTACAGGCGTGAGCCACCGTGCCAAGCAGATTCTCTTCCTGTCACCCCTATATCCAATATTTTGGTAAGTTCACTTGCAAAACCCCTGAATCTGTCTTGAATCCACCCTCCTCTCTATCTCCTTTGCTGCTATCTTCTCACTGAAGCCACCTTCATCTCTCCCTTAAACAATTACCCAGGACTTCTGTTCCCCAACTTTTACTCTTGCTACTTTCTTATTTATTTTTTGAAACAGAATCTCACTCTGTCGCCCAGGCCAGAGTGCAGGGGCGCTATCTCAGCCCACTGCAACCTCTGCCTCCCGGGTTTAAGCAATTCTCCTGCCTCAGCCTCCTGGGTAGCTGGGACTACAGGTGTCTGCCACCATGCCCAGCTAATTTTTGTATTTTTTTTTTTTTTTGAGACGGAGTTTCACTCATGTTACCCAGGCTGGAGTGCAATGGCGCGATCTCGGCTCACCGCAACCTCCGCCTCCTGGGTTCAGGCAATTCTCCTGCCTCAGCCTCCTGAGTAGCTGGGATTACAGGCACGCACCACCATGCCCAGCTAATTTTTTGTATTTTTAGTAGAGACGGGGTTTCACCGTGTTGACCAGGATGGTCTCGATCTCTTGACCTCGTGATCCACCCGCCTCGGCCTCCCAAAGTGCTGGGATTACAGGCTTGAGCCACCGCGCCCGGCCTTAATTTTTGTATTTTTAGTAGAGACCAGATTTCACCTTGTTGGTCAGGCTGGCCTCGAACTGCTGACCTCATGATCCACCCGCCTTGGCCTCCCAAAGTGCTGGGGTTACAGGCATGAGCTACCACGCTTTTTTTTTTTTTCTTCATTATTTTTTTTTAATTAGCCAGGCATGCTGGTGCATGCCTGTGGTCCCAGCTACTTGGGAGGTTGAGGTAAGAGGATCACTTGAGCCCAGGAGTGTGAGGCTACAGTGAATCACGATTGTGCCACTGCATTCCAGCCTGGGAGACAGAGTGAGACCCTGTCTCAAAAAAAAAAAAAAAAAGAAAAGAAAATGAAAAAGATGGCCGGGTGCAGTGGCTCACACCTGTAATCCCAGCACTTTGGGAGGCCGAGGCAGGCGGATCATCTGAGGTCGGGAATTCAAGACCAGCCTGACCAACATGGAGAAACCCTGTCTCTACTACAAATACAAAAATTAGCCAGGCATAGTGGCACAAGCGTGTAATCCCAGCTACTTGGGAGGCTGAGGCAGGAGAATCATTTGAACCCAGGAGGCAGAGGTTGCACTGAGCCAAGATCACGTCATTGCACTCCAGCCTGGGCAACAAGAGTGAAACTCCATCTCAGAAAAAAAAGGAAAAAGAGAAAGAATCAAGCCAAGAAAATCCTCCTTTGAAGTAAGTCCTCAGGCTGTGCCCAAATCCTCCAGCCTAGGCTGGCCGAGCAGTTCTGGGACTTACAGAGTGACCTTGAGAAATTCCATTCCCAGGCTGAGCTGCAGTTGGAAAGCTGGAGAAAGAAACCTGCATCGATCAAATGTCCACTGCCAGCCAAATTCTCTTCTGGAAACTTCACATCGTCCCAGGGCTACAAGCCAGAAACCTGGATGTCGCACGTGATCCCTGCTGCTCCGTTCCCTGTCACAATCAATCCTGACGATTCCACCTCCAAGCAGACCGGCACTTCACCCAGCTCTCTCCTCCCCACCGGCCCCATCTCAGTGGCTGCCAGCCACTGCCATCTCGTCCGGCCTGGGTGAGCCCAACAGCCTTCTCCGTGTTCTCCCCAAATCCCATCATACACCCCATCCCCTGCCAACTGGTTCTTTACACAGCTTCCAGGGGGAGCTTGTCAAACAGTAACCACGATCATCACCAATGACAATAGTGCACATTTACATAGCACTTATCATGTGCCAGACACAGTTGGAAGTATGTTACATGCACATTCTTACAGTGTAAAACTCTCATTTACAGATATGGAAACGGTGGCACAGACAGGTTAATTGCCCGAGGTCACACGGCCAGGAAGTGGTGTAACCAGAATTACACATCTGACCTTGTCAGTCTCCTGCTAAAACCCTTCCAAGGTTTCTACTCCCCTCTGGAATCAGGACCACGCTTTACAGTAGAGCCTGCAAGGCCTCACAGGACCACAGACCCCCTCAGTCACTCCATACCATCCAGACTGGCTTTAGGTTGGCTGGGCGCAGTGGCTCATGCCTGTAATCCTAGCAGTTTGGGAGGCCAAGGCAAGAGGATTGCTTGAGCCCAGGAGTTTAAAACCAGCCTGGGCAACATAGCAAGACCCCATCTCTACAAAAATAAATAAATAAATAAATAAATAAATAAAAATAATAAATAAATAAGCTGGGCACGGTGGCTCAAGCCTGTAATCCCAGCACTTTGGGAGGCCGAGGCGGGTGGATCGCAAGGTCAAGAGATCGAGACCATCCTGGTCAACATGGTGAAACCCCGTCTCTACTAAAAATACAAAAAATTAGCTGGGCATGGTGGCACGTGCCTGTAATCCCAGCTACTCAGGAGGCTGAGGCAGGAGAATTGCCTGAACCCAGAAGGCGGAGGTTGTGGTGAGCCGAGATCGCGCCATTGCACTCCAGCCTGGGTAACAAGAGCGAGACTCCGTCTCAGAAAAAAAATAAATGAATGAATAAATAGCCAGGCATGGTGGTGCACACCTGTGGTACTAGCTACTCAGGAGGCTGAGGCAGGAGACTCAGTCTACAGTGAACCATGATCACAGCTCTGCACTCCAGCCTGGGCGACCGAGAAGATCCTGTCTCAAGAAAACAATAAAAACAAACCAACCAGGTGCGGTGGCTCACGTCTGTAATCCCAGGACTTTTGGAGGCTGAGACAGGTGGATCACAAGATCAGGAGTTCAAGACCAGCCTGACCAACATGGTAAAACCCCGTCTCTACTAAAAAAAATACTAAAAAAATTAGCTGGGCATGGTGGCGTGTGCCTGTAATCCCAGCTACTCAGGAGGCTGAGGTAGAAGAATCACTTGAACCCGGGAGGCGGAGGTTGTGGTGAGCCGAGACCACACCACCGCACTCCAGCCTGGGTGACAGAGCAAGACTCCGTCTAAAAAAAAAAAAAAAAAAAAAAAAAAAAAAAAAAAAAAAAAAAAATTGGTTTTAGTTCCTCAAGCCACAGAGACTTTGCACATGCTGTTGGAAGACTCTCCCTACCCCCTTCCTGCCTCTTATCCTTTTCACTACTGAATTCTTACTCTGTCATTTTCCAGCTCCATTATCACCATCAAAAAGCCTTGGCTGGGGCGGTGGCTCACGCCTGTAATCCCAACACCTTAGGAGACCAAAGCCGGAGGACTGCTTGAGGCCAAGAGTTCAAGACCAGCCTGGGCAACATGGTGAAACCCTGTTGCTACTAAAGATACAAATAAGTTAGCCGGGCATGGTGGTGGGTGCCTGTAATCCCAGCTGCTCTGGAGGCTGTGCAGGGATTGCAATAAGCTGAGGTCGTACCAACTGCACTCCAGCCTGGGCGACAGAGTGTTTCAGTGTGTGAGGCTCTGTCTCAAAGGCAAAAAAAAAAAAAAAAAAAAAAGAACCCTTTCTCCACTGATCAAACTGAGCAGGGCCACCCTTGTGTGGTTGGGTAGGATGTGCACTGCACAAAGGTACCAGATCTAAGGGTAGACCTGTCCATTTATCATGACAGCCACCCTTCAGATGGAAATCAAGGGACAGAACAGCACCATCCACTAGATCTCCCTGCAGGAGGAAAATGTTCTAGAGCTGCACTGTCCAATGAGGTCAGACACTGGCCATAGTTAGCTACTGAGCAACTGAAACATGATCAATATGCTGAGAAACAAAATTTTTAAGTCTGTTTAGTTATGTTAATTTTTTTTTTGAGATGGAGTTTTGCTCTTGTTGCCCAAGCTGGAGTGCTATGGTGCGATCTCCGCTCACCGAGACCTCCGCCTCCAGGTTCAAGCAATTCCCCCGCCTCAGCCTCCCCCGAGTAGCTGGGACTACAGGCACCAGCCACCACGGCCAGCGAATTCTGCATTTTTAGTAGAGGCGAGGTTTCTCCATGTTGGTCAGTCTTGAACTTCCGACCTCAGGTGATTTGCCCGCCTCAGCCTCCCAAAATGCTGGGATTACAGGTGTGAGCCACTGCGCCCAGCAAAATTCTGTTACATTTTAACAGCTAGTGTTGACATTTAAATTGAATGAAGTTCATGGCTATCACAGCAGACAGTGCCAGGCTAGAGAAAGAGGCACCTTTTTCTAATTTGCACACGGACCCCAGTATAGAAGTCAAGGTCCACTCTGTTACCCTCCTGCACAGCACCGTGCCCCTCGCCCTCATGGTCTGAACTTAACCATCACTGGGAAGGGCATCTGGTTCATGACCGGCCCCACCACCCACGTTCAGCTTCCAGAGTGCACGATGCAGGCCCAATTTTGCTCCTCAGTGAAGACCCAGCACCTGGCACCAGGCCTCGCACAAACATCCGCTAATGGAATGACTTAATTGGGGCCGGGCACGGTGGCTTACACCTGTCATCCCAGCACTTTGGGAGGCCGAGGAAGGCACATCACTTGAGGTCAAGAGTTCGAGACCAGCCTGGTCAACATGGTGAAACCCCATCTCTACTAAAAATACAAAAATTAGCTGG